CGTCCACCCACCAGCATGCACGGCCACGGGCTCTGGTGCAATGAGGCACCGGCACCTCCCACCGGCCACCCTCCGTCCCCGGGTACCCACCACCTGCAGCATCACGGCGACAGCTGAGGCTCACAGATCGGGGGGGCTTCAAATCACACAGTCAGAACCCACCCCAGGGAACCTCGTACAGTATTGTTGGGAGAGAGCTAACCGTGTGCCGTTGGCACCTGTTAAATCCTCCACGAGCACGAACTCAGCAAGTCCTCTGGACAACTCCCTGAAGCAATAAAACACCGGCTTTACCTCCTCCGCTAAGCCCCAGGAAGGAAGCAAGAAAGCGAGGCTTGGTTTCTCAGCCCCCTCACCTGCCACTCAGGGGGGACTGGTGAGCTCTCACCTGGATGGGAGCAGGCAGCAAGCAGAGCATTAGGGGCCGGAGGCCAGCCCCGGTGCCAGGCGGACCTGTGCAAAGCCAGGCTGTGCCGCTTCCGGGCTCTGTGACCTTGAGCAAGGGCCTCCATGCTCCAAGCCTCAGGGTGTATGTTTCAAAACGAAATTGCGCGCAGCGGAGTCACATGACGCGACGCGTGTAAACTGCGTGGCGCAGAGCAGCGCTTAATGCCATCAGCGACTGATGACGATACGGGTTGGAACACCAACAGCACCAGGCACTCAATGCGTCTAGAACCCTGGGTCTTCAACTCACGGAACCGTCATTAACCAAGGCTTCTTCACCTCGGCACTTGCCGGTATCTGGGGCTAGATAATTCTCGGGTGTGGGGGCCGTCCTGGTTAGCAGCGTCCCGGGGCTCCACTAACACACTCCTAGTCGCGACAACCAAAAACGTTTCCAGACACGGCCACACGTTCCCAGGGGAGGGCAGAATCACCCCTGGTTGACAGCCACCACCATGACCCAATGAAAGAAACGCCACCAACATCCCCATGACGCAGATGGGAAAACGGAGGCACGGGACGGTGAAGGGACCGGCCCCGTTGTCCGACGGCTGGCACACGGTGGCTCGGGGACACACGCCGGGTGCCGCAGTGCCGTCATTGTTTTGCAAAGGTTGCCCCCTCCCCACTCTACCCTGCCCACCTCCCCAGGGCCTACCGCCAGCTGCAAGTCCCGGCTGCGCAGCACGGCTGAGTTCTTCTCCTCGCTGAGCTGTGCCAGGCGCATGGCGATCATGTAGTTCTCGTCCTTGAGCCGCAGCAGCTCCAGGCTGCCCGCCTCCCAGTCCTCCCGCAGCCGCTGGCAGCGTTCCTGTGCCTGCTGTTGCTCCCGCAGCCGCTGCTCCAGTCCGGCCCGCTCCTCCTCCAGCATCCGACCGCGAGCCTGCAGTTGCTGTTCCCGCTGCAGCTGGCTCTTGCGAGCCTCCCGCAGCCGTCGCACCTCCGTCATCAGGAACTGGGTCAGGCCCTCGGGCCCCTCCTCATCTGCCAGGGACAGGGGAGAGAAAAGTCAGGGCAAGCAGATAAAAATCCAGCGGGACGGCAGCCTGCGCAGAAAAACCCAAACCACAAAAACACGAGGTGGAGATTCGGGCATGTAGTTTGATAATTTTGGAGTGGAGGAGGCCTTCCTAAAGAAGGTACAGAATCTAGAACCTAGAAAAGAGAAATTGGACAAGTCCATACAAAAGTCTGTTGAAGATCTGAACAGTGAAAGATGTAACAAAGAAGTTAAAAGACAGACAGCAGAACGGGAGAAAGTATAACCAATATAACAGAGAGCTGGGAGCCACGATATATAAAGAGCTCCTACAAATCAATAAGAGCTATAACAGAAAATGGACAAATCCATATAAAAATATGTTAAGCTCCTAACCATGACAAGTAAAAAAATGTTAAGCTCCTAACCATGACAAAGTTAAAACGTAAGAAGGAGAGCAGGTGAAAATATAATCAATGCAGCAAAGCATTCAGAGCCACAATATATAAAGAGCTCCTACAAATCAATAAGAAAAAGCAAACAAATACATGAGGAACAACTATTAATAGGCAAGTTCCAAAACAAAATCGGTTCATAAACAAAGGAAAATATGCTCCAACTCACCAGCAATAATAATCATAATGGTGACAATAACAGCCACTAACGTTTAGCTTCATTCTTTGCACTAAAGAAATTAATTTAGTTAACTGCATGACAAGATTATGAGGTAGGTACTGCTATTACATCCACTTTAAAGACAAAAACACTGGGGCGCCTGGGTGGCTCAGTCGGTTAAGCATCCGACTTCGGCTCAGGTCATAATCTGATGGTTTCAGGAGCTCAAGTCCCGTGTCAGGCTCCGTGCACTGACTGCACAGAGCCTGCTTGGGATTCCCTCTCTCTCCCTCTCTCTCTC